TAGACGTTCCGTTCTGCATGCCGGCAGTGTTAGGTGGTGACTGTTCCGTAGAATCCCTCCCGTCTGCTGTTGTCTGTCGCTGGTGATCATGTGGTGCAGAGGGTGATCACAAGCACGCATCTGGTCAATGAGTTTTATTGCTGCTGCTTCTCGCCTATGTTGGAGAGTGGGCAGAAAATTTGCCGACGGGGCACTACTGTTCCGGTTTATGATCTTTACGGCCATTTTTGCACGGATTCGAGCATGTTTGACTTACTGATCGTGCATCCGACATACACAACTTTAGCATACTCCAAGTGAGGCCTGATGAGAGTTGTGTACAGCGTTGATAAGTCGTCCGCGGGCATGCCACCCTTGGCGAGTAAACGGAGGTAGTGAAGGAGCTGCGATGCTTCGTGACTGACTGGTGTCTAAAGGCGCTGGAGGTAGAGAAGGCGCTGCGATGCTTCGTGTACCTTGTTTCTCAGCTTTTTCTAACTGGCTGTTTTCCCGTATTTCTGATAGTGTGACTGTCTTTTTTCAAGTGCTGATTTGATTTTGTCAGTCATCCAGTACTTGTCAACGTCACGGACCTTTTTCTTCTTAAAAGATATGCAAGTGTTGAGCATCGTCTGTACGATGTTGTAGAAAGTGGTCACCTTGTCTGTGCTTGCGCTGTACACGCTAGACCAGGCGGCAAGAGCCATACACAGCCCTAGGGCGTCTTTTCGATCCTGTGTTACCAGACGGTGCAGAACTCTAGAGGGCTCACAGTGGTGTAGATAGAATCCAGGTTTTCATATAACACAGTAATGATCACTGGCTGCGAGAGGGGCAGAAGTCACCGGTGCCTGATAGTGACTGTGTACATTTGTTATAATTAAGTCCAGCACGTTGTCGGCACGGATGGGCTCTGTAACTACCTGTTTAACTCCGGATATCTAGTCAACAGTGGTTGCAGTGAGAGTTTGTTGAAATTACCACGCAAGATGATACCAGCAAGTGGATGTTTACGATGGATTTCATCCAAAGAGTTAATGAGGTACTGATTCGTCTCGGTTTGCAGGTGTGATTCGTTAGCCCAAGGAGAGACTAGGGACGGCTCGGAGTGTCCTATGTGGCTTTAGGGCTGTGTTTATGTAGTCACCCAAACCGCGATTCGGGTAACTCACATTCCTCACATCTGGTCCACGTGCCACACATTCCTTTGAAACCGTGTCCGATCACTATTCGCTTGAGCTACATTTATTGTTGTTTCATGAAAACACGTTAGGTAGCGTGTTATTAATGTCAGAGGTCAACGACCTGCTTGCTGATGCCCAGCGTATCTCAGCCGAATGCCGACGTGGTCCCGCCAGAGGCGGTAAAGCTCGCCCTAGAACGGAGACATTATTTGACCATTACTGCTCTTTAAGTTGCTGCCACGTAAAAGTTGGTATTGCATATAAATAAAGAAATATCACCCAATAATCCATGACCAGGTGAAGTCACATTGAAATCACATTGCGTTCAGACGCTAATTGCGATGCGGGAAAACCGATTCGAAACCACCTCTAGAAGTGGTTTGGGATCGAGGCGCTTTCAATGTGATTTGGAGCGTTCAGATGGAGCCACTAGAAACCGGCTTCGGGGTAAACCACATGTGAAGCGCCTTGGGTGACTTCACATAAACACGGTCTAGATGAACCAATATGCATTCCATGTCATCAGATGTTGAGATGTTGACAGGTGTAGCCTTAATGCTCGTTTTGATGTAAACGGCAGCATCTCCTCCCCTCCTGCTTTCACGACCCTTCCTATAGAGACAATACCCCTCAACGGACAATGTGTTCGAAAAAGTTGGAAGAAAACCATGTTTCAGTGACCACCGCGATGTTTCTGGCTGAGTTCATCAAGTTTATGGACTAAAGATCGTGCGTTGGTCAGAAACATGCTTGGCATGCTTTTAAGCTTAGGCTTTATGAGCTGCCTGATGGGATCGTGTTTCAGAGGACGCAGATTTAGTTTGTTTACGCCTGGTTGGCATTGCTTTTCCAGGTGAGATTTGCATGTTAATGTAACAGATTCCGTTTTTTCGTTGGCCTATTTCCTATTACGTTGGCCTATTTCCTATAATGGTGTCAATGAAACGATGATGGTTCTTTCCACCTTTGCATCCTCGGTCTGCATCTCGCCTGCCTCAATGAAGAGCCGTCTTCTCATACTTAGTCAGTGGTTGAAAGGCCGTCCGACAACCTCGAAGAAAACTGGCAGTGTATCTCAGTATGGTCGTCATGGCTGGCGTACGCTGACCGGACGAAGGTAGGGACAACGACTGTTTAGAGACGCTGTCTGTAGAATTCTGCACTTCAGTCCGACTAGATAAATGTCTCCGAAGGAATCAGTGATACATCACGCACATGTAGATTGATCCGCGAAACACTAGAGGAACATTTAAAAGGTAAAAGCATACGTTCGAAACGGGAACTAAAAAGCAACGCGGTCGCCACCTATCAGCCTGAATCAGAATGAAATTCATGAGTGATTTATCGACCACCGACACTTCATCTACGATAATAGTACTTCCAAAAATGTACTGGCACGTACTTGTAACAACCATTAGATGGAATACATGGTGGATGCACATGTGGGTACTGTAAGAAGGACAGAGGAATTGTCGGGGTTCTCCTGTGTCTGTCGTAGCAACCTGGTAGCCTCATGAAATATGCATTGAATAAGGTGACTCTTTCCAGTCCAGACCTTAACAGGTACACGTAAGTACTGATATTAACTTGCTAACAAATGTATCTTACAGAATATGGTTGCAAAACCGGTTCGATCACCTGAACGCGTACTGTGTAAATCTGCAAAGCTTGTTTACTGTATGTCATTCGCTCTCTATCTCATCTGCCGGTACGTTGTCACTATTTTTATCTAAAAAATGATAATTTAGTTTATTACCTCCATGAAAAATGGATGTATTGTTTTTGGCGTGTCTGTCTGTATGTATGTCTGTGTGTGTGTGTGTCTGTTTGTCTGTCTGTGTGTGTGTGTCTGTGTGTGTTTCCGCAACTTTGTAGTCAGCATAACTTCAGGACGCCTTTATGGATTGTGATGATATTTGGTATGATGGTAAGTCTTGGAAAGACAAAGGTCAAGGTCAAGTATGGGCCTCCTGGTGGACGACCTTGGTACTGCAGCAGAACTTCCGGTTTTTGTATCTTTTGTCCTGAACAACTTATGGTCACTTTTTGGTGACAGATAGCTTATCCTGTCAGGAATAAGTGGCGTCAGTTTGGTCCCACTAGCAGCTTGTTCTGGAACTGCAGTTAGTTTCTGGTAAAAACTTTCAAAGCCAATAAGTCCAGATTGGAACAACGTGTTTTCATCATTTTTGGTGTGTAGGTACCTGCGAGACAGTTGTACATGATTAAATGCAAATTATGCAAATTGGGACTTTATTTGCATAATTAATGAGGAAATTCTATAATTATAGTGTTTTACATTATACTACTTTCATACATGTAATGTATGTAAGCTATGGCAGGCGGAGCATCAACAGATACTAATTATGCAAATTATGACCTAATTTGCATAATTAATGCGAAAATTCTATGATTTCTTAATGGTGATTGATGGGAATGTCATACTTGGGACATCTGTGAGTTAATCAAAAGTTAACATACATCACGATGTATATATTATGTTAATGCAGAGGTCATTTGCATAATTAAAGAAGAAATTTACATTTACATATGAAGCCCATATTTCATGGAGGTATGAAATCTCGGAATTCTTGGTTGTTTAAAGCAAACATGGTTATATATGTGAGTAGATCATTAATGTCTATACAAAGATATTTCTATATAAGTTTTCACCTCCATGAAAAATGGAGGTATTGCTTTTGGTGTGTCTGTCTGTATGTCTGTCTGTCTGTCTGTCTGTCTGTGTGTGTTTCCGCAGCTTTGTGGTCAGCATAACTTTAGAACGCCTTTATGGATTATGATGATATTTGGTATGTTGGTAAGTCTTAGAAAGATAAACGTCAAGGTCAAATATAGGCCTCCTGGTGGCTGACCTTGGTACTGCAGCAGAACTTCCGGTTTTTGTAGCTTTTGTCCTGAACATGATTTGGTCTTAATGTTTTGATGACAGATTGCTTTTTCTGTCAGGAATAAGTGGTGAGAGTTTGGTCCCCCTAGCAGCTTGTTCTGGAACTGCAGGGCACTTTCTGGCGAAATGTTTAAAAGCCAATAAGTCCAGATAGGAACAACATATTTTCATAATTTTTGGTGTGTATGTAGCTGAGAGAGAGATGTACATGATTAAATGCAAATTATGCAAATGGGGACCTTATTTGCATAATTAATGAGGAAATTCTATGATTACAGTGTTTTACATTATACTACTTTCATACATGTAATGTATGTAACCTATGGCAGGCAGAACATCAACAGATACTAATTATGCAAATGATGACCAAATGTGCATAATTTATGCAAAAATTCTATGATTTCTTAATGGTGAATAATGGGAATGTCATACTTGGGACATCTGTAAGTTAATCAAAAGTTAATATACATCACGATACATATATCATGTTAATGCGGAGGTAATTTGCATAATTAAAGAGGGAATTTACATTTACATATCAAGCCCAAATTTCATGGAGGTATGAAATCTCGGAATTCTAGTTTGTTATAGTTTCCATTTTTCTGCGTTAAGCTAGAAACAAAAAAAAAACATAATATAAAAGTATAATGCACCGCCCATCGAACTACTCGCCTTATTTGCATAACGTCACTAGACCAAATGTTTGGATCATTCATTCCATTACAAGATTTTGTTCTGTTCAGGCCAACCTTTTGGTAAGCTCTATCTTTATTACATGTTAAAATTGTAGTTGAAAAATTAGATGAAATTCTTCCATCGCAAATGACCTTTGCGCTAATATTTCACCAGCCTTCCCTGTTATGTTTATCTCCTGTTAAGAGTGTCAAGTTTATATTTGGTCATTAACTGGATAATCTCATCTTTGTTGCAGAAAGACAAGTTTAGGTTAAATTCAAAGGCTGAAGCAGGTCACCGTTGATGAAACCAAACAATGACTACTGCACAGTGCAATTTTGTAAATGTGTTTTTTATTGCTTGCGCCGCCGTGCTGATGGTTACCTACTTATATGTCTATAATAATCTAATAACAACAAACATCCAGTTTAAGAAAGGAAACGAGAAAGTAGCTGTTGCTCATGGTCCAGGTGCGTATATAATGTTAATTTGTCTTCCTGTTTAAAAAAAAAATGAGTGTTTACTGTAGAAACGCCACTTAACTTAAAGCAGAAAGGGAAATAAGTGCCATTTAAGTCTGGTACTAAAATAATGTAATTAATTAATTAATGATTATTTGATTATAATTAATGTGAACACAATTTAAGCTTTAACCTAATAAAAGAAGACTTTGCAAATTATACATTTGGAAAAGCTCTATTTGCATTTTTTTATTGGTCAGATCAATTTCACTGCACATGTAGTAGCAAAGAGCTTGAAGTTGACCAAAAACATTTTACTCATAGATTACGATGATGAAAAGATTGATATGTTTGTGGAGGAAGAGCAGATTAGAAGAGCATCCTTACTTGCAAAGTATTGCAAGAGCAATGGATCTTTACATGCGGTGAGTCATTATTTCTTAATTGAAAATAAATAATTGAGTCTTCTACAATTACAAAACTATAATGTCTTTTGATATATTTGTGTATAAATACTTGTCAAACTTATCTTATAAGTTGATTTTCTGCCGCTGTCGGCAAAACAAAGGAAGAAAGATATTTCTATTTATATAGAGTAATAACTTTTAAAAAGACCAACAATATGGCGGGACAATACTGACTGTTACCACTGTGGTAATGCTGTTGCTAACCTGCTGTCAAGAAGTGGAATTTCAATGAAAAGGGTACATTTGTTTGGCTCATAGTGTGATAGGGGGCCTTACACAGGTACATTCTCCTTTTGAACAAAATGCCCGTGATGCAGAATACAGAAAAAAGGCAGAGTTGAAGTAAGGAGTAGGAGTGGATAATTGAAGAAAACACCTCGAAGACTAGGCAATCTGTATTTCTTAACCGTATGTCGTTACTTTGGGACTGTTCTCATGCTGCTAAAGGCAGCTTGCTGCACAGATTTAATGTGTACCTTTCATTTATATTGATTAGATCAGATGCGTTCACCAGTTCTTAGGTAATGGGGTGGGGTGGTATGAGCCTCCTTTGTTCCATGAACCCCGAAAAAGCCCGGTCTATATAAGGTTGAACAATTTGATTAAACTTTGACCACCTAGCTACAATAGAACGATACTTGAATTTTTATATATTACAAAAAACGATTTGGTTGTCTCGGAATAGACATATCTAGGTTGTTGACTATACATAAACTATTGACGAGAGGTTGATTTTAAAAACACAGTCGCGTTAGTTCAATCATACGTGACATTGTTGATAACATGTTGATATTTAGACCTGGAAAGTTCATGTTAAAATAATTGAATAAGTTTAACCTTGTTTGTTTGATTTCAGAACTCCCTGAAGACTTTTTATTTCGTCGTTTACGATAAGAAGAAAATAATATACTGTCGCACTGGAAAGACGGGAAGCACAACAACATCAAGACTGCTGTACAATTTGGAAAATGGGGTCAATTTAAACGCAGGTGCAATGAAGACGTCTGATAGCCTCTCCAAACCTAGATTGTTAAATTCGTATACTGAGGAAGAAATAGCTCTGCGTTTGTCGACGTATTTTACTCTTCTGGTCACGAGAAATCCAATAGAAAGGTAGGAAATCATTTAGAATTAACTAAATACATTTGCTTTCAATGATTTTTGTTTTAAAACGGTGATTGCAAATTGTAATTATTTTTTTACATTAAACTATGTCGGCTTTTACAAGGTTATGACTGTTGTTAACAATTTTGACGTCATTTATATGATTTTAATGAAACCCGTCAAATTTTTTTCCCCAAAAACGTATTTGGATACAACCAAACTTTAACAAAAAGTGTCTATGATGGAATATATATGTCTGCTTATACTTATGTTGCCCTTGGCAACAACACTGAGGTCTAAATGACGTCATGAAATGACGCAATGCATAATTAGCTGTCGGCCATCTTCGATCGGAAATCTTGAATTTTAAAAATTGCATTTTTTTCCAGATATTGCCTCAAAACGAAACGCAAATGGACTAAAAAATGCTCATATGAACTTTTTATGTGGAAAAACACGGAGTTGAGACGAAAAACTAGTGAAAAAATGATTACACAAGACCTAATTATATGGCCCGCCATCTTGGATTTTGACCGATGACGTCAGCATAATTTATGACTATTTAACGATAGAAAGTATACCCTTATAATAATACCCATAATAATTTTACCCTTGTTGGACATGACCACAGATTGCGTCTAATCACTCCCAATGTTTGTTTGGCCTTCGCAGTGATGTTATTAACATGCGTGCCACACTTAAGGCTACTTGTCAATGTAACACCGAGGTACGGGTGGGTTTTTGTTGTTGCCAAAGCTTGACCACTGAACAGATAGCTAGCTATATGTGGGGTTCATTTGTTTGATATATGCATAATATATCATTTTTCTGGGTTAAACTGCATAAGCCATTTGCTTGACCATTCTTCGAACGTGTTTAGATCTTTTTGTAAAAGGTGTGAGTCATTCTGTGTAGACAGCTCTACATACAACAGACAGTCATCCGCAAATAATCCCACCTTTGAATCAAGCTGATCTGGTAGGTCATTAATATACAGAAGGAATAGCAATGGTCCCAGAACATTTCCTTGGATTCCATAATACTGCAGTTATGAGATGAGTCTACCGTGGGGGACTTTATCGAACGCTTTTGTGAAGTCAAGTATCGCTAAATCTACTTGCTCTTACTGTTCAGTGCACCGGCTATGTCATGAACTGCTAGTATGAGCTGTGTTTCTGAGGATCACTTAGCTCTAAACCCATGCTGGTAGTCCGTCAATATGTTGTGACTTTCTAGCTTGAAAGGCCTTTTATGTAGTTTTGGCCGTGTAACCTAAATACAAAGAGTCGATTTCCCAGCAATTTCTTTACATTCCTAGTTAAATAAACCCTAAGGCGTAACACAGCACCATTCAGTTAATAGAGGCGAGACGCAAATCGTGTTGGAAAACTGGGCACTAATCGGCGGTAGCGAGGATCACGGCCCGAATCCAATCAGACTTAGGCCCGCTATACACACACACACACAGACACATATATAAATATATATATATATGTAGGGTTAATAGATAAATACTACAAGTTACTGTATAATGGTACGGTCCAAACGTAGTGACTTTTCCTAAAATATTGTTGGAAACAATGTTGTATCGGTGGTAAAAAACATGTTTTGACAGGCATTCTTTGCTAAATTTAGTAATTTTCGTTTGAAGAATAGAATTTTATTGGTTTTATGCCTACACATGGTTTCAAATATTAAGAACATCTCATGTAATTGTATGCAAAGTTCATCATTAAAATGCATAGCTTATGCTAATTTGATGACGTCATTGAACAAAATCGAAGATGGCGGACCTGACCATTCCTGTCAATTTCGTGTATCTCCTTTCCTTACAATTTCGTCACTACTTCCATTGCTTTTTTTCCATAAAAAGGTTAATGTGAACGTCTTTATTCTATTTCCAATGATTTTAGGCTTTAACCTGAAAAAAAACAACATTAAAAAAAATAAAAATTGATGATCCAAGATGGCAGATAGCTTAAACATGCATGACGTCATTTAATGACCTCACCGGTGTTGCTGAGGGCAACAAAGTACGCCCTAATTTTCTTTCATAATCACAGTTTTGCTTTATGCCATTGGCATTTTTCTGGGAATAACCTATCTAGACCGTTGGGATGGTCACAGTGGGGGATCTTTCTTACTGTCAATTAAACTTATGGGTTTAAATATTTATTTTAACTTTTATTCAGGTAATTTGGTATTTTCCAGGTTGGCATCGGCTTGGATGAGTAGATTTCTAAGCAACCCTCATCTTCGATACAACGAACAGTACCGAAGTATGCTTCAGACGATTTCTTCAAAGGAATCCAACGTAGTGAAAGAGGTATAACTATTCATAATTACTTATGTAACTTTAACGACATATAAATATTTTTTAAGAGGGGTCACGGCGGTCTGTCACTACGGCATTCTTTCCCATTGCTAGGCGCGTTCTAAAAGTTATCGGGTTACAAGACGCTATTTTGGCCTATTTTGGACTACCCGTAAAATACTTGAAAATGAACAAAAAGGATTTAATGGTACATTTCGTCAAATTAAAATGAAATTATAGCCTTAACATCCTTTTAATATTAGCTGTTTATGTTAAATCATTGATTTTTCGAAATTTCGCTCCGAAAGACGATTTTTTCCGGGTTTCCGACCACAAGTCATGCCATGTTTTTAGGCAAACATCGTTTTAACCTGGCTACGTATATCACCCCAGATCCCCGATTTTTATATTTTTCGACGACTAGGAATAAGGTCAAAAATCGTGTTTTAGGGATTTTTTAATTTGTAATTGTAAGTCTAGTTTTTGTCGACATATCGGTGAAAAAATGATTATTTTTTACATTTTTCGCACTAAATTACCCATAATTCATAATTGAGGCAATTTTTCAAAAATCCCTAAAACACGATTTTCGGGACAACCGTTACGGTCATTTTGGGCCGTAAATGGGGTATGTTTGACTCTCCATGCTTGCAGGTTAAAACGAGTTTTGCAGACATGTCATGTCCACCAAAAGTGTGCATTGCGTTATTCATACTGGTGTAAAGAATCATTACAGTATTCAAGGTCACCCAAGGATACGACAGTAGCTTCGCTACATGTTACATGTCCACAAAAAATGATATGTACTGTCCAGGAAACTGTTTTTATCTATAGAAAGGTGTTGTTTTTTATCTGTTGCAAGGCACGGAGGCAGAAAGGCTTGTTTTGCCGCTTTATTGTAAATGACCGCAGGTGACCCCGAAATAGAACGCGGGTTCGATTCGAATTGCCCAGATCGAACACGATCGAACACAGTTCGGGTTCTATGGCATGTGGGAACTTTGCAGCCCAGATTTTACCACCGTGGGTAGTCAATTGCTTTATAGCATGTATTTTGTGCAGAAAAGGTTATTTTAAGAGTAGCATTTGTGGCACAAAAATTTTGCATTCGGTAATCCCTCTTTATACAACGTTGTTAAAAACACACCAACAATAAAATAATGCAAATTAGGTTACCATTTGGATAATTTACATTCAATTTTGCCCACCTCATTGTAAATTCAAAGTGCCATGAGTAATACATTCGTACATTTCTTGATATTGAATTTCATTTATTTCGAAGCATTTTAGCCCTACAGGGCTTACATACATGGAAATTACAGTAAAAAAACAGTGAATACATTTAAAAAGACATGATCATGAGTACATCAAAACATCAACAATGAACACACGAACTGGCATTTCCAAATTAAAAACTAGAGGTAGAGGTCCATGTAACACTGTTTACGATAGCTTTTTTTGAACCTGAGTAGTTTACTCAGTGTTTTAACATGATATGGTAGATTGTTCCACAGCAATATTGCACGATACAGGAATGAACGTTTTTTACTGGATTATGGCACTTTTATGATTATGCTAATGGTGTGCTTTTTACATAATCTATTTCTTAATGTTTCTCTCTTTCTCAGTAACATTTTTATGGTCTAAATTTTTTGGGGGGTAAAATTTATTTGTATAAAGTGTCTCTTAACCTTTCGACAAATCCGATGTCATAAAGATCTATTAAACACACTTTTTTAAGAGGCCAGTAATACTATATAATGACCCTATCAATGAGATAACATAAACTACCAGAGTTTAGTCTTGTCCTGGCAGCCGTGCAGTGTACATAGGGAAAGCCTATCTAAGACAGTTTAGCTTGCCAAGTAAAAATTTCTCTTCAGGACACTTTTAAATGACACACACACACACACACACACACACACACACACACACACACACACACACACACATATATATATATATAAGAAGCTATATTCACTAGTAACCAAAAATATGAAGTATAATAGTAATGACAGCTCTGGCTTGCCATGTTCTTGCTTGTAGCTTGGGACCTTGGCTTGTAGTTACATGCCCAGTTCTACATATAGAGCCTAAGTCCATACTGGTTTATCTGACTGCATGTAGGTATCACATTTACAAGCCATATGCCAGACACAAAACCAATAGGGGCTACACGAGCAACCTAGGTTGCTCGTACAGCCCTCCGCGATACCCCCGCAGAGCTCTGCGCCTAAAGAAGTCAATTTGTTGGTTGGCGTCACCGTTCAGTTTTACTTTCACCTCTTTGCGCTCTGCGCTCAAAACAAGTCATGGCTTGCGACACAGGTTCAGTTTTGTATAGAGCTCTGGGGATTTTAAGCCAGTTCAATGTGACTACTAGGCTTTGTAACGTACCTGCGGCCCGCAGAGCTGGTATTGCTGCTCTGACAGGTCGGGTTCCGTCGGTATCAAGCTTGTAGTCAATAGCTCTGCGCCGAAACAACTCAATTCGTTGGTTGGCGTCAACGCTTATTTTTGGTTAGACCCTTGTGAATAAAACTATAAGTACAAAACAAGTCGATGCTGGTGGTTGGCGTCACGGGTTCAGTTTTGTATAGAGCTCTGAAGATATCATGTTTTTTGAATATGGCTATTAGGCTGAACAGCCAGTACTCTGTCACTGCTCGCACAACTGCGCCAAATGAAGTCAATCCATTTGTTGGCGTCACGGTTCAGTTTTGCTTTCACCTCTTTGCGCTCTACGCTCAAAACAGGTCAATTCGTCATGGCTGGCGACACAGGTTCAGTTTTGTATAAAAAACTGCCGTTTAAGAATAGCCACAATGAATTTACACCAAGTATCCCCAAGCTATCAACTACTCAAAAATTAATAGCGTGACATGCCCACATTACGAGATAATACATGGAAGTTACGCGTCATTACTGTAAAATCGATATTGAGGTCAAAATCTAATAGTATCAAGGTCAAAATAATCATCTAGACGTTCTCAAATTATGATAATAAACCGCAAAACACAACTTTGTTAACATTTCTAAGCTCTGTCATAATTTTACCAAGAAACAATTAAGTTATGATCAAGAATTAGCGTATACCTGTTTTCGAACCATAGCAAGAGTAGTGCTGGTGGTACATGGTACATGGGCCAAGGTCCCCTGTACAAAACATAACGACCAAGTGGACAGTTTAAACGACTGAAGTCTTACTTCAGCGCAAAATATACATAAAACGAAAACGACTAAAGTAGAAAAACCAACAAACGTTTATTACATTCTTCAATCAATGTAATGGGATGAGAATGTGTGACAGGAAACTAAGATGGATGCCAGTAAGAATCTCCAGACGCTAGAACATGTAAGTGGAGGCCAATGCCATGCCGTTGCATTATTTAGACAGAAAATGATATATGCACGGTAATTTATTGTCATCGATTACCTATATTACCCATTATCATGCAAATAGATTGTACCCCAGAACAGCCTGGATCATATTCTTAAGGTTTGCTTTACTGCGTCGAATATGGTTTGACCATAGAGTTAAAGGATCAAGACGGTTAGTTACAGGCTATTTACCGCCGTCGTTCGACAAGTTCAAAACATTAAATGTATTTTAAGGACAGCCTAACGAGAATATGTTTGATGAGGATGTCTGTTTGATATTGACATTTACTGCAATTTCTTATTTACTGCAAGTATTTATCTTCAGATTATACATGTACTTGAAACCTTTGAAATAACCAAAACAGCTACTTGAACAGTGTCTTAATTTTTTGATACCGCCCATAGATATAAATATAGAACCAGCCTACAGCACAAAACAGGCAACCTTTTCCGTTAGTGATATCACTAACCTTGTCCAATAAAGCATGACACTGATATAATATCAGTATCACGTGCCAGTATCTCGTCCCAGCCCTCCTTAACCTGAAATATCGTACCCGTTATCTTCTAACACATCATGGTTGAAGTACATGTATCGTCTTATCCAATCACAACATTGTCAACAAGTATTCTAATCATTTGACAATCATTTGTCGCCTTGCTAACAACTTGCTCACTACTACTAAAACTACTAACAGGGGAATCAGCTACCTTAAAACACTACTCTGTTACAATACACTTCTACTCCGGTACTTCACCTGGTCAGCCATGGCATGCTCTAAAACTTATTTCACATCATACTCCTGCTTGGTGCGTTTTCCTGCTGCCTCCTTTAGTTGATGCTGCCTCTGCAACCAACGCAGCCGACCCCTCCGGTAAACCGGATCCTCCTCCATGAGCTTCTGTATCCTCTGTTTTACTGTGTTACTCTCGCTCCTCACTTCTGCTTTCGGAGGATACGCGACTTGGCCACCTTGCTGGCGTCTCGCTGGAATCTGATATCGTGGTACCTCTGACTCCATCTTCTGACCACGCCCAAGGCACCTCTTGTCCTCCCCAAACTCACTCTTGATCTCCTGAGTTGTTACCGGGCCTGCCCTACTTCCGACGCAGGCCGCCCCGTAGTCGTTGCCTAGCAACACTGAATAGGGTGTGTTCATCACCCCTACTTCTACCTCTCTCGCGTTACCATCTACTTCCAGCTCAGCTCCCAGTGTCCCTGTACACCTGTACTTGCTGACCGTTCACAGCTCCAGTGCTGCTGTACTTGCTATCTTCCGCCACGTTTCCATCCGCGTCCCAGGGCTTGTCTGCTCCCTGCGCGAACATACTCTGTGCCACCACATTCTTCTTGGAGAACCCTTTCCCCAAACCAGGGCAATCAGCTTTCACGTGCCCTGTTTCACGACAGTGGTAACAGGTCTTACGGAAGCCTCCCCCAGGCTCCCCGGAGCCACCTTGACCGCTCTTCCGGCCAGGCTCGCCCTCAGATCTTGATGAGTTGCGTGGACGGACACCTTCAGCCAGGCTCGTCTCGTGAGCCGTCAGATACTGGTCGCTCATCCTCCCCAACTCCTCCAAGGACTTTGGTTTCCTCTCTCGTAGGTGGATTGACAGATCTAAGGGGCACAGATCCAGGAATTGTTCCTGGACGACCGGATCACAGATTCCCTCATACGTCTTGGGAGTGTTAGACAGCTCGATCCACCTGTTCAGGTAACTGCTGAGGCGTACAATGTACTGGTCCGGACCTTCCCCCTCCTGGGGAACTTCAGACCGGAACTTTTTCTTGAAACCGTCTTCGGTAAGTTCATACCTCTTAAGAATGGCTTCCTTCACCTTATCGTAATCCTGGGCATCGTCATCAGATAGCCTGCTGTACACATCCAGTGCCCTCCCGTGAGTAGGTCACTCAGTAGNGACGCCCACGTGTCTTCCGCCCAGTGGTTGGCACGGGCAAACCTCTCAAACCTCAAGAGGTACCCATCTATTTCTTCGCCCTCCATGAAGCTGGGTAGTCTCGGCGTCTTAGCCTTGACGTCTCCTGTACCTTCCTTCTTGGCCTTATGGTACTCGATTTCCGCCTGCCGTACCTTCAGCTCTTCCATCTCCAGCTCATGTCTTCTTTGAGCCTCTTTCTCCTTAGCCTCATTCTCCCTCTGAGCCTCCCTTTTCTTGGCCCGTTCATCTCTTTCTATAGCCTGCTGGGCAATCACAAACTTCAGGAGGTTTTCCCCCTCCAAGCCCATCTCCTTGCCTTGTTCGATTAGCTTATCCATGGCTGACACAGGTACACCACCCCCTAACCACAGTCAATGAACGGTCCTTGCAATCAATGCACTACCCCTGATAAAAGTCTCTGTCTCTGATAAAAGTGGGACCAGATGTGATTGGTGAAACCCTACTCTAGAGTGCAATACTGGACTAGCCCTAGCGGTAGCTATCTGTCAACAACACCTGACCACATCTATCAAAAGCACATTCCTAAGCAGAGTAACCTCACAAAACAACACAAGACTTTTAGAAAATACACTTCTAGGAGATACAGACTTCTACTAAGTTCTAGAAACTCGCAACAGGTCAACAGAACAACGAAATACACCAACTGTTACCAGCTGCTTCAGTCTGCTCTCTCTCTGCCACTGTCCTCAATCATATGATAGTTCCTAAAGTTCAGTAAATGAATCCTTTAAGACAGTCCCGCTGCTCACTCCTCCTCGAGTCGTCAATCTCCGGAAAGCGTCCATACAACACTGCTGGGCTCCACAGCGTCCCGTCTTCTCCTGGAATTCCCTCCTGGACTCTCCTCTTGCTTCCACCGCTTCCACTGACCGCCCCGTGAAGCACCACTCCGCGATCTTTGCCGTTGTATCCACACAAAGCCCGCTGGTCTCCGCTGGTCACAGCCTTCTTCTCTGGCTCCCACGTGCTCTGATTCTGTAGACGTTTGATCTCCAGCCTCAGCCTCCAACCTTGCACGATCACCACAAGGTCCACTGATTTCTGCTGGTGATACAATCTTCTCCTCAGGCTCCCACGTGCACTGATTCTGTCCGGGTCCTGTGGACGTCTGGTCTCCAGCCTCAGCTTCCAACTTTGCACGATTAGCACAAAGTCCTCTGATTTCTGCTGGTTACAACCTCTTTTGGCGCTTCCTGACCAACTGTCCTGCCGACAACGCCAATGTTACAGGTTCCTCTTAAATCTCCAAGAACAGTTGGACACACACCAAAGTCAAAGTTCCACAGCCTTTATTTTCCACACCCTTGCTCCCGGGCTCCCTTCTCAGAATGCCCCCCTATGCTCCCCTGGAGCGTTCCATTGGGGATATGGGGGTGTTCCATACTAACTTCCCTACGATACATAACACTGCAATTGCCAACAAAGTTGGACTCACCAAATTTTTTTACCTTACAACTCCAGTCTTTGTGATGGAATTAGCAATACTCCGTTTTCATGACGTCACACAGATATCACACTTGACTCCGTGGCAGGCGGATCATAGGTTTCAGAAAGCCTGTGCCCCCCCCCCCCCCGACTCTCTTGAGGGATGGCTGTAATGCCCTGATGTGGAAGGCCTCTTTAATCCCTCGTGCGAAAAAGTCCGATTCTGTGTCCAAAATTCTTACTTTGTCCAATGAGATTTTGTAGTAGTAGTAGTAGTAGTAGTAGTAGTAGTAGTAGTAGTAGTAGAATGGTTTATTATTACGAGAACAAGAAAATGTACACACCGGCCTCCTAACAGCTATGATGGCTACATTGCGAGGCCTATTCTAACACCATGTTGCGACTAACTATTTACATTCATAAAATCTAAAAATATAGTAAATTTAGAAGCGAATATTAGTTTAAAATCGACAGGAGCATTAAGTTGCGTATTTCATCTTGAAAACAATGTAGCTTTGTGGAATGTGAATAAAAACACGGTTTGGAATTACGGCTACTAGAACGTACGAGTAATAAAAGTTCATGGTCTACAGTTCATTTAGCCGTTTGTCCAGGGCAGGAATCCCGCTCGTCGTGTAGCGTTTAGTCCCATTTTGTCTAATGATACGCTAACTACAGTAAAATAGGACAATTCCTTGCAGGTTAAGATATACCGCAAACCCACACATGCTGACATGAACTCGGGGTTATCCGCATCTTGTTCCACAGAGCGGAAGGGATTATTACTGAGCCTAGATTAGAGAAAGATAACTTTACCTTTCACATGCGCTAAGTGTGGATAGCCCACCTGGGCGTCAGACTAGGCTAATAGACCCAAATCTTTATAAGCCCAGAAACTGTAACAAGAGCAACACGGACACAAACAGTGGCCTTGTTGTTCTGCCTTCCACGAAAGGCCAAAGTGAATAGAACACGGGATCAAGACCGGTTTTAGACAAACTAAAACCCCTTCGGAATATACTGGTTTTAACCATTGACAAAACACCAAAGAAAAGTACATTTGCGGTAGTTTACCGTATATTGTCAAGGGCAGAGAGACGGAAAGACCTCGCAATGTTAGGTTCCTAAAAAACAAACGACCTAGCTCAATTACTTTAAAGGTCTCACAAACCTATGATACCCTGCTCACGGAGTCCAACTTTTTTGTGTTAGCAAGTGCGGTTTCACTCACTCACACTCACTCCGTCGAGACTCGCTCGGAATCTTTCATGACTAGATGTCTCCATAGCTCCCTGTTGTCCATCGCTGCAGGCAGCTGGTTCAGGTTTAATCCACTGTCAGCTTCAAGTTGATTAATATACGTTTTATGTGGTCTTCCACGACTTCTTTTTCCATGGTTTGGATTCCACAGTAAGAGTCTTTGAACTACCTCGTCCTTTTTTCTCCAACAGTGGCCTACAAAACGTAGTCTTCTTTGACGTATTGTCTCAGCGATTGGCGGTATGTTCTTATATAGCTCACGGTTTGACATTTTTTGTCTCCGTGAGACGTTTAAAACATTTCTCAACATTCTAGTATATGAGCCATTTAATCTTCTTTCCATGGTTTTTGTAAGTGTCCAGCATTCTGATCCATACAAAAGGATTGACTCCACTGCTGCTCTAAAAAGCTGATTTTTTGTAGCAGGACATAGGTCAGTTTTCCACACAACTGACATCTTACTCATGGCTCCCCAAGCAAGAGCAATTCTAACCTCAACATCTTTGCTGGAGCTTTTTAACCACGATCCTAAGTATTTGAAATCTTGCACACAGTTGAGTGCCTGTCCTTTTGTTGATATCAGGCTTCCTTCGGGTTGGTTAAAAACCATATACTCTGTTTTTGAGTCGTTTGCGTGCAGTCCAACAGTTTTCGCGGCATTTTCTACTTTATGTAGCAATAACTGTGCTTCTGCAATTATGTTGGAAGTAAGGGCAATATCATCAGGAAAGTCTGTGTCAGTCAGTAGTTCTGCTGGGTATCTACTGCTCTTTCTTGGTTTCAACACAAAGCCAGTATGCTCAGATTTTTCTGTGGCTTGTCTCATTACATAGTCCAAGGCCACTATAAAAAGAAAGGGAGCTAGTGTATCTCCTTGTAATACACCTGCGGTTATTTAAAAAAACTCTGTTTCTCCGTGTGGTGAAAGCACTTTCGCTTTTGTGCCTTCGTAGAGAATATTGATTGCCGCAACAATTTTGTCTTGTATGCCATATCCTCTCAGAATTTCCATTAGCTTCTTGCGATGAATCGAATCGAACGCTTTGCTAAAGTCGATGAATGTTATGACTGCTTTGAGGTTCTGATCTTTGATTCCTTCAATAAGTCTTCGCAAAGCCAGTATTTGTGACAAAGTCGATCTGCCGGGCCGAAAACCATTTTGGTTGTTTCTAAGTAATGGCTCTACATGTGGCCTAATCCTCAGCAAGAGCATTTTGTTGTAGATTTTAGATGCTGTAACTGACAGACTGATTCCTCTATAGTTGGTTGCATAGCCAAGGTCTCCCTTTTTTGGTAGGGGGAGTATTCCACTGTTAACCCAAATGTCAGCTCTGTCTTGGTGGAACGTTCTATTACAAATTTCAAGAAGGGGGTCAATCAAAGGCATCTGTCTTCCAGACTTCTATTGGTATGTTGTCGAGGCCAGGGGTTTTGCGATTACTGAATGTCTTAATACAGTTCAGAAGTTCCTCCCTGGTAAAGTCATCTGTACTAATTGGCAGGGTGTATTCTATGATTGGCACAACAGGCTTTTCCACAATATTCGGGGGGTGGCCTAGTAGTTTGGAAAAGTGGTCTTGCCATAACTGCACTCTCTCTTGTTGGCTTTTAGCCTTGTGTGGTTTAATTGCAGATAAATTGTTTTAACTTGTTTCATAAGGACTTCTACCAACACAGAAGATCTTTCAAGATAACATTTGATATAGTAAGAAATGACTAACATGTTTGCTCTGATCCCTCCTGTGTAGGGCACGACTCTAGCCATCGTCAACAATAAAACATTAAACAAATTCATAAATGAAAAAAAATATTGCAAACAAATGCGTGCAGTGTATCCTATTTGTCTATAATTAATGGATATCTTTTGTTTCAGACTAAAGGAGATAATATGACCAAACAAATACCGTTTTTGGCCTTTGTAAGAGCAGCGACTGACAATAAAAAAAAGTGGGAGAATCGACACTGGATTCCTGTTTCTGATGCCTGCAGTCCTTGCAAGGTTGGTTTTAGTCATCACAATGCTGCAAACAGTCAATGGTTATATTATCATATTCCTCTTACATCTTACCAATCCCCTTCCTTACATCTTACTATTCTCTAAGTGGAATTCCTTAACTATTTGGTTTCAACCATATGTTTTAATTATCAGGATGACATTAAAAGGTGTGGCCATTGACAGGGCAACTAAAACTGATACAAGCGCATGTTACCAAACGCTGGGCTCAAACTGATTGCTTTTATTTGAAATATAAGTGCAACACATGCTTGCTCCACCTGCAATTTTTCGTTTGTATGCACTAACTTAATTAACAAACTGGTTAAGTAGTATTGACATACAAATAAAGGATAAGATCATGAATTTTACTCGGCGTCTGTGAAAACCTAGTAAAGAGCTTTTGAGATCGTTTGCTGTACCCTTTTAATCTATGGTCAACTATAGTATGGTATACACTATTTTCGCTTGGTTGACCTTTTTTTGAAACTTCTTTAGGTTTTAAAAAAAGTTGTATATTCCATGCAAAGCTTGATTAAAAGTCGATAAAGGTTTGACATCAAGAATATACATAATCATATCTAGTTGTTTGAGTAACTAATTTTGGCGTACTTGATTAAATCATTAAAAATGCTTTGCATGTTAACAGTGCATTAAAAATCCTTGCCATAATGATATTCTCACGTTAAAAGCATTTAATTATATATAATAGTAAATGTGAAGTTTTTAATTACAAACACATTAATCATTCAACAACTAGATGAGCACTAATATATCAATAACAACGTATTAACGACCTAAAATGTAGAGTTACAATACCAATGCACATTGTAAACAATATTTGGATGTACTACTTGACATATTACACAAAACATTTTTTTTTCTAAGGTTCCCTATGACTTCATCGCACATACAGAGACGTTAGCTGACGACCTACGTCTCTTTCTCCGAAAGGTTGGAGTCACAAATCGGGATCATATTCTACCACGGACAAAACAAAGGGCTGCAGCAGAAAATCTCCCGAACATCTACGGATTTATTCCGATGGAAGACGTAAAAAGAGTTATAAGAAAGTTTAAGTCAGACTTTGAAATGTTTGGATATTCCTATGAAGAAAAATTTTTAGAGATTTTAAAAACTTAGCTAAAAATTCAGACGTCTTAACACCCTTTAATTGTGTGTAAAATTGTAGATTAGGCCACAGCAAGTATAAAGTATAAGTTAAATCAGTGGGCATTGGTTTCGCCCGATTTCGGGAAAATAAAACAAGAAATTTGTCCCCCTTCGTCTCTGGTTAACACGCCAAAAATGGAAAAAATATGTCGTAAATGTCTGTCATCAGATAAGTCACTAATACTTTTATACAGTTGTGCATTTCGTTGTTGATGATGATGATGGTGATGTGTATTTCGTACTTTTTATTTGTGTCAGACCAGCTGTACTCCGAATCAAAGTATTTTGGGGAAATTTTAAAACTTGTTTTAGAGATAAATGGATGTTGTAACACACACACAGAGAGAGAGAGAGAGAGAGAGAGAGAGAGATGTGGATTTCGTAAAGGTAGATAAAAGGTTGCGATTCTCAAAGACCCACACACTTCGAGGATGCGTCTTCTCCAGCGGCACTATATCGAGGGAGACGTGCTGGAAGTTGTGGTAGTGTAATATAGGTGGAGTATGACCTCTAGGCAGTTCAATTTTTGAGCCACTGTGGCAGTGATTTCCCATGCGATCTGGTAGATAGTCCCTAATTTTGAGTTTATGGATCAATAAAACAAGTGGCACAATTTCTTCTTCTTTGATGGCAAGCAGCTGCTACAACCGGCACTTTTGTACAACTACTGTATGTGATGTCTACACATCTACAAAGGCAATTGATAAAACATCTAAAGGACAGGTGATAACACATATACAAGGATATTATTGAATACAGAAATAAAAGATAGGAAGGAAAGGAAGGCCTCGTTCTATAAGAAAAACACGACTGGATATCCAACGTAAAGATACCCTCCATTACCATAGTTTTTGACAAATATGGTTAATCCTAAAGTGATACCATTTACCAATCGCTGCTTAACTACGACAACAATACATGTATATATAGAATTGGCTTTTGAAAATAGTTCCAAACCTTCTCTGAACAAGCACTTTACGTAAGAAAATTTTTTAACAAAAAAAAAAAAATATGTACGTAGCGCAATCACAAAACTCCGAATTGGCTGTCACATTGTATTCAGACCGGGATATTTTAAAAAAATCATATCGACCAGAGGGTTTTCCATTTTGTTCAGAGCTGATTGACGTGAAATATCACTTATTGATTGTATATCGAGATTGCTATACTTCACAAACTATACACTAGACCCTTAAGCTACGGTCACAACCCGCCGTACGTGCTTTTTGTCCGTACGTTTTTCGGGAGCCTACGTCTGCTACGTTTTTTTCTGAAAACGTAGAGAAGTAGTGGCGTCGACGAACGCGACTCACACGCCAATCGCACGGTTGCGCAGGGTGTAAGAGTGTGGTCTGCACGTTACGTCTGGCCGTGAGCGGTTGGGTGCACTGTACGTTGCGCAAGTGGTAAGTGAGTTGTGCGTGCTTACAACGTACGATCTCTGTGCGATTACAACTTAACCGTAAGGAGGGGCACGCCCGTCGCTCGTACTCGCACGCACGGGTGGTGAATCCGCAGACCGCATGTAGAAAAAGTTTTACATGCCCTTAAAGTTTTACAGCGTGTCTGCGTGCTCCAAAATCCGTAGGATTCCGTACGGAGGTGGTACTTACCACGCACTGATGCCCTACGTTTGCCCACATTTTTGTACGTAGACAGCACACAGAAGCACGTACGGCGGATTGTGACCGTAGCTTTAGATTATATTCCAACATTTACTACAATGAACTTAGAAACCAATATTAGAAACCCCTTCAATGGTTCTAGAAGTTCATACTAGCCACCAACGTTTTCATTAGTTAGGTTTAGAAAATGTACTTAAGATGTATTTAGTAGTTGCTATACTTTGTACCCTGTACAACCATTGTGCAACAAAGGTACCTTAACCCTATCTAGACCGGGGGGGGGGCTTAAAGTGCCCGCGGCAACTTTGATGTCACCTAGCGTCTGAACGGCTAAAGCTAGAACCGCCAAATTTGGTGACTTTTCCTAAAATATTGTTGGCAACAAATCTGTATCAGTGGAATAAGATTATGATTTTTCTTGTTGCCATGGCAACGGGTTTCTGACAGGCATTTTTTGCCAAATTTAATTATTTCCATTTAAACAACAGAATTTTATGGGTTTTATGTCAAGTTACACATTGTTCCTAACATTAATAACATCACATATAATTATATGTAAATTTTATCATTAAAAATGCATAATTTATGCTAATTTGATGACGTCATTGGCCAAAATCCAAGATGGCGGACCATATCATTAGATCAGGTAAATGCAGCTTATTTTCCTTAAAATTTCATCAATACTCCCATTTTTTTTTACAAAAAGGTTCATATGAATGTCTTTAGTCTGTTTACAATGTATTTTAGGCTTCATCCTAGAAAAAAACAACTATTTTTCAAAATTCAAGATTGATGATCCAAGATGGCGGATATGTAATATATGCATGACGTCATTTTATGACGTCACCGGTGTTGCTATGGGCAACATAAGACTTAGTACATCCTAATATTCTGCCATAAACACTTTTGGTAAAGTTATGTCGTATACTGTTTAGTTTTCAGGGAATAACCTATCTAGACGGTTTTGGCCAATAAAATCACATTAATGACGTCATAATGACGTCATATTACGTCACAACGACATAAAAATTAGTACGTATGATAAATTTTTACTAGTACATCATCCTCTGAAAATTTGGTGGTCCTACGATATACCGTTCTCGAGTTCTGAGGGGGGGG